AGAACTCAAAATCGCGAGAAAATCATACAAAAACGGTCTGAAACTACCAAGAGTCAGCGTTTGAAAATTGACTTTCTGTCCTTTATGAGAAATTCGGTGTAAATCGAACCGACCAAATCCCGGTTAGGGCTCCAGGCCTAAAATCGCAATATATCTGGAAATGTGACGCAACACTAAAACGGTCCATCAGTAGGATTGCTCCCTTCGTCCTGTGTTTTCCTTTTGTCGATTCCAATAATTAGCCTGCAAGGCGGAACATAGGACTCTTTGGTTCAAGAATGCTGTCTCTGGTGCATTCTCTCTAAATCCGAATTTTTCCAGGGACGGGGAAGACGGGGGACGTAATGAACGCTTTTAGAAGAGGAGAGCCGATGGGGCCCCCTTCAGTAAAACTTGAAGTTTCAACCCGTCTTTATAGTCTGATCTCTAATGTACAAAAATCCAGTCCCGTATGCAACTTTCTGAAAAAAGTTCGTGAGTGGTATCAATCTCTTCGTCATGTTGTCTGGAATCAGAATTTGAATGGTGATAACCTTGAAAATCGTGCAGGTAGCGCCCAAAGCCCAGAAACAAAATGGCGGCCGCTCGGTAGCCCTTATTTTTGAAAATTCCGTATTATGGCATGTGAGGTATCGATTCCTATGTTTTTTGGGTCGTAAAATCCGAATATGATGTTTAAAATACCCTCCGATCAAAAGAAATGTCGCAAATCCAACATGGCGGCTGAAAATAACGACCCGGCGCGAAAATCGCTGAGTTCTCATTTGGCCGTCTAGTAAGGCGGCCAATGATTGTACTATGTGGTCCCAGGTTTCAAAACAGAGTTACAACTCACTGTACGGCCCATAAAGAAACCCCAAAATCCAATATGTTGAACCCAATATGATCGAAACCTGTTTTTTTGGTATCGGCGTATGGCGTCGAGTGGGGTACCGTTTCTGATGTATTTTTGGTCGCTCATGACGAATATGAAGTCAAGAATTACTCTTGGCCAATATTGAAGCTCGTAAATTCAACATCGCGGCTAAAATGGCAGGCATGGATAGGATAAAATCAATTATATACAGCGGTAGTCCTGATTTAATAAATTTGTGGGGCCTCTTATACAAAATTTAAAGTTAAGATCTATCTGATCACATGTAGGTATACGCTTTTGCCATCCACTTTGACAGTATAAATGGCTGCTACAATAGCCGATCTTAAATGATAAAATAAGTACGTAAAATGTGGATATCGAGATAAGTAGTCAAACCATGCATCCTCGGGACGGCTATCAAATTTTAGGGTGTACTTACCTTTGCGAAGTGTTTTATCGGAGTATCCGGGAGAATTTGTCTTCAAAGTCTGAAAATAGGCCGCGAATAAACATAAAAATAAAAGTTCCAGTGACTCGCAAAACTGGACCTGACCAGCGAGTAAGACTGAACACTGTTAGAAGATTTAACGTGTGTTTGGGCAAAGAAATAATAAGCAAAATAGATTTAAGTATTATGTTTTTCAATGTATTTCCTTCGATGATTACGAATTTTTTTTTTCAATTCACAATTTGAGTTACATAGATTTTTTTTTCATATTACCCCAAGACATAAAAAAAAATTTCGTAATCATTGAAGGAAATACATTGAAAAACATGATAAATCTATTTTGCTTATTATTTCTTTGCCCAAACACACATAAATCTTCTAGCAGTGTTCAGTCTTACTCGCTGGTCAGGTCCAGTTTTGCGAGTTACTTGAACTTTTATTTTATTTAGTGTATTTTCCGAAGAAAATACACTATTGCATTCTTCCATGATGTCGAATCCATCCATACCTGAGACATTGTGAAGAGCACCGATCATGGGTCATAGATCACGAAAATATATGCCATTCAAATTCATGTGTGTATATATATATGTATATATACAAATCAAATGATTTACGTATGAGTTACGTATTTACGATTTTACGTTTTTTTTATGTATACATTATATGTATGTATGGGTGTATGTATGTATGTATTTCCGCCTTTTTAAGATTTTTCGATTTTTGAGTAGTTATATCTTTCTTACGTTGAAAGATATTTTGACCAATTTTTTTGCATTTAGTAGAGAATTATTAGAACTACTATTCTGAGAAAAAAAATTGAAATTTGAGGCAATAGATTTTGAGGGGTGGGGCTCGAAAGTGGGGGGAGGTCAAATCTTGTCCACTCGATAACTCGAGCGAAAATGAATATTTTGAACTGAAATTTTTATGGGTGGTATTTCTCCCCTAGGACTGGTTTGGTACTGAATTTGAGCTAAATCGGCTAAGCCGTTTAAAAATGGCGAGCTTTGAATGTTTTAGGCGGGGTGTGCGCGGCATGAGGGGAGCCGGCCGGAGCAGGGTCGCACAGTGGGTCGGGGGAGAAAGTTTTTGGACATGCTGATCGTCGCACAGTGGGTGAGGGGGAAGAAGTTTTTGAACAACATTTTCGGCGCACAATGGGTTAGGAGGAGGAATTTTTCGGACAAAATTTTCGTCGCACAGTGGGTCAGGGGGAGGAAGTTTTTAGACAAAATTTTCGTCGCACTGTGGGTCAGGGGAAGAAGTTTTTGAACAAGCTTTCCGTCGCTCAGTGGTTCAGGGGCAGGAAGATTTTGGACAAACTGCGCGTCGCACAGTGGGTCAGGTGAAGAAAGTTTTTGGACGAACTGTTCGTTGCACAGCGGCCCAAGGAAAGGAAATATCTGAAAAAAAAACTATCCCTAACACAATGACGTACAATTTTATTGCTACAAAAATCCCACTTCGGGAAATACACTTTCTTCCCGCGGTGGATGCGCGGGACACTTAAAAAAAAGAAAAACTAGATGTGCAGACGCCCCTGAAAAGACGCGCGCGAAGCGAAGCGGAGCGCCGGTTTTTTTTTTTATTTTTATTCGCGGCCTATTTTCAGACTTTGAAGACAAATTCTCCCGGATACTCCGATAAAACACTTCGCAAAGGTAAGTACACCCTAAAATTTGATAGCCGTCCCGAGGATGCATGGTTTGACTACTAATCTCGATATCCACATTTTACGTACTTATTTTATCATTTAAGATCGGCTATTGTAGCAGCCATTTATACTGTCAAAATGGATGGCAAAAGCGTATACCTACATGTGATCAGATTGATCTTAACTTCAAATTTTGTATAAGAGGCCCCACAAATTTATTAAATCAGGACTACCGCTGTATATAATTGATTTTATCCCATCCATGCCTGCCATTTTAGCCGCGATGTTGAATTTACGAGCTTCAATATTGGCCAAGAGTAATTCTTGACTTCATATTCGTAATGAGCGACCAAAAATACATCAGAAACGGTACCCCACTCGACGCCATACGCCGATACCAAAAAAACATGTTTCGATCATATTGGGTTCAACATATTGGATTTTGGGGTTTTTTATGGGCCATACAGTGAGTTGTAACTCTGTTTTGAAACCTGGGACCACATAGTACAATCATTGGCCGCCTTACTAGACGGTCAAATGAGAACTCAGCGATTTTCGCGCCGGGTCGTTATTTTCAGCCGCCATGTTGGATTTGCGACATTTCTTTTGATCGGAGGGTATTTTAAACATCATATTCGGATTTTACGACCCAAAAAACATAGGAATCGATACCTCACATGCCATAATACGGAATTTTCAAAAATAAGGGCTACCGAGCGGCCGCCATTTTGTTTCTGGGCTTTGGGCGCTACCTGCACGATTTTCAAGGTTATCACCATTCAAATTCTGATTCTAGACAACATGACGAAGAGATTGATACCACTCACCAACTTTTTTCAGAAAGTTGCACACGGATATACATTAGAGATCAGACTATTATGGCAATTTGAGAAATTCTTGGCAGGTACTATGAGGGGAATAATGTGAAGAGAGCTCCCAATAGATTTTACCATGAACTCTGGGAGAAAGTGCCATGTCCGAAAAGAAATTAAAAAGTTTATGATTAAAGGGGAAGGGGGACAAAAAAATTTGTGGCATGGGCTCCTAGGCGCTCGCCTAGTCCGTCTACACGGTGAATCCGGCCCTGACCCAAATAATTCAGTGAGTTTTATCCCAAAGGACCCCGCACACTTCTAATGGGAAGCTGCACCATGACCAATTGCCTTCTGACTTATGTTTTTCGATTCTCCTTAAGATGCTGATCAGAAGTTATAATTGCGCCAACTTTCTACGATGCACCGTTTTCGCAAAAACGCAAAGAGAAGATTCAATTATTCGATGATAAAAAGCCAGAAAGATTCCTCATTTCAGTGCTCGATTGACAAGCGCCTGTGTTTCAACAAGGAAATCATGGGGACTCCCGCACCGAGCGGCAGTCTTATCTCGGATTCCGCACGCCGGCCGGCCGTTTTGCTCGACCGACCATCCAAATCAGATTCTTGAGGAGCATAAGAATAGGAAAGTCTGAACGTCTACCGGGCCAGTGCGGGAGGGAGATAGCCCCTGAGTCGGCAGGCACAGATAAGAAGACGGATACACGCCACGTTTTTTCCTTATTTACATCGGGCCTGTTCTCAAATGCTTTGTTCTTTTTCATTCATAGTCGCCGAATAATTGAATCTTCTCTTTGTGTTTTTGCGAAAACGGTGAATCGTAGAAAGTTGGCGCAATTATAACTTTTGATCAGCATCTTGAGGAGAATCGAAATACATAAGTCAGAAGGCAATTCTTCATGGTGCAGCTTCCCATAAGAGGTGTGCGGGGTCCTTTCCGATACTCTAAGCTTTTCAAGAATCCTTTACCTTAAATAGTACTTACCATTCAACTAGTATCCATTGACTTGAGAATTTTTAGTTAATTTTATTCATAATAAGTTTGTACCAGAAAAGAATTGCTCTAATATTTCCTCCTTTTTTTTCTTCTTTTTCAATTCTTCAGCTCAGTTAATAATATCCATAAAATCTCCTGTTTATGTGCATTGTCCTGCAAGTAATAACTGACTCAATTCAAGCCGTCATCAAAGCCTTCTTTGATTTCAGAGCAATGCTGGTTAGCGATTCGGTATGGACAGTAGGAAGTGATACGGAGAGGTTACAAGTAACTCGTGAAGAAGATCTTTATAAGCAAGAAATGACTCACCTCGAAACTGACTTAACGTATGTTAAAAATATTCTTTTGTGTGCGTTTATCTTTTCAAAGGTATTTACCTACCTTTCAAAAAGTTAGGTAGCTATGCAAAATTTTCCTATGCAGGTCAGATAGAAGTAGTATAAATAAACCAGCATAGAAAGCACAAAGTTATCAGCAGGGAATAGGCAATGGCTGAAAAATGGCAATGAACTCATAGGGAGAATCTGAATTTGCACTGGACCTGCTCCCAATCTCTGTAATAATTTCTTGTCTTCCTGAGAATCCCTTTTCAGAAAGTACATAGGGTGTCCCAAAAGTACTGCCCCTTTTTTCCCAGAGGGCGAAAGAAAGCAGATATCAAAATGCGGTTTATGTGAGGTTATAGTCCTAGTAATTACCTATAAAACAATACCAAGTTGAGCTCTGAAGCTTAAAATTTGACCGAGATACAGCATTTTGAAAATGACGTGTCAAGGTGGCGCCTACAGGATTTTCAACATTTTTTACGGACGAACCCCAGGACGAACAGACACGACGCATCTGTAGGTGATCCTTTAAGATCCGGTGCAATGAACTTTTTGAGATGTCAAGAAACACCTGAAGCTTACGCAAGGATAAATGACGGTCTCCTCGAACAACAGCAGCAACGGTGCCGATTAATTCGTCTGTGGTGGAGGTAGACGGTCGGCCCGGTTTCGCGAGACTTTCCGCCGATTCGCGGCCGCCAGAAAAAGATTTAAACCAACGACCAATGCTACTTCTGTCCAAACAGTCGTCTTTATACACGCCTTTCATTTCATTAAAAGTGTATTTTACTGACATTCCTCGACGAAAACAATAACGAATAACGTGGTGTTGTTCTTTTCTTAATTCGGTACTCATCGCGAAAGAAACTTCCAAAACGACAGAGGGATGAACTCTGACTGACGTGACGGGAAAGCTTGACCAACTTGGATGGTACTAGCGGACACGTTTAATCCAGTCGTTGGTCTGCATAGGGGCGCTTACACGTTGCCAAATGCCGCCTAAAACACAGTGTTGCCATATGTTTCTGGCCGCTTCTTTTTCTTTTTAAAACCGTTTCATTCTTAAACTTGGTTTTTTCTTTCGTAAAAAATGTTGAAAATCCCGTAGGCGCCACCTTGACGCGTCATTTTCAAAATGCTGTATCTTGGTCAAATTTTAAGCTACAGAGCTCAACTTGGTCTTGTTTTATAGGTAATTACTAGGACTATAACCTCACACAAACCGCATTTTGATATCTGCATTCTTTCGCCCTCCTGCGGAAAAAAGGGCAGTACTTTTGGGACACCCTATGTATATTGTGGCAAACAAAATTTGATACACATAAGGTTGTCCAAACCTACAATAGATTTAAACCGGTTTGAAACAGACGGGTAGTTTGATTATGGTTTTCTTTAAAATTTCAGTTCAGAGATCGAAATAGTTAGGCAAATCCTCATGCATGATATTTTATAAAGTCAAATATCTTTATCAATACTTATGCCTCAAGCGTTTATTCTCTTCCAGGGAGCTGGAAACCACAGTAGAAGAATTAAGAGGTAATGTGATAAATCGGAAAACACGAGTCAACATGTCAGATGTTGAAAACATGGCCCTCATTCTCAGTAAATCAAGGTACAGCTCTTTCCTTTTATTTATAGAATCTGCAAATTTCATCTCATGTATTCCCTGAATCTGCAATTTATAGATTGTACGGTTTTTCTGATATATCGGGTGTTCCGGAGCACCCGTCCACTATCTTTTTCTCAGAAACTGCCGGAAATTGAGGTTCAGGACGAAAACCTCCTCAGGTTATTCTACCCCAGAGAATTCAATGAAAATATTTTCAGCCTCCCAAAACCCCATTTTGAGCGGGTTTTAAGGGGTATGCCCCCCGTTTCTCGCAAAGGGTATCCCTGGGTAAGGGCACCTGAATGCCCCTCTTCACGGATTTTGAATTTAATGGTCTAAACTCTTTCAGGAGGTCCATAAAAACATGGTTTTGGGCAATTTTTACCTCCTGACACCAACCACCACCCCCCCCCTCCAGCCCGGAAAACCCCGTTTTTCGGGGAATTTTGGTGAATATTCACTTTTCATTTCATATCTCCCGCGTTTTTCTATGAAAATGCACCAAAATTTCACCAAATGTACATCAAAACAACTAGATTCTTGGGTAAAAAATCAAATTTATTTTATCATATTTAGATCCCTAAAAAAATTCGTAAAAATCTTAAATTTCCAATTTTTTCAGATTTTAGCGGTTTAAAAAAAAAATAAGGACACATACATTTTTTTTTGGCCTTAAAATGTACGTACCTAATATACTCAGTTGTTACCAAATTAAATTTCAAGCCTGCACGCGTTGTGCGTCCCACCGAAAAAATGGTTTTTTTGGGGCCAAAACGGTAAAAATGGCTCTTTTGGCAACGGCTTACTCGCTTGCTGCCAAGATAATAGCACTAAAATCACTAATTTTTGGTTCCAATGTTTCAAGAAGCATACCCTAGTATTGCCAGTGAAGGTTTTAAGTAGAGTCCCTTTATACCCAGAGTTAAGACAACTCACTTTTGGTTGGGCTGAAAGTGGCCTAAAAAAATCCAATTCTGATTGGTTCTCGCTCATGGAGGCCGAAACGAGTGCACCAAGACGGAGGTACCTTGAATGTGAACAAGAATAATGAAAATATTACCTAATTGTGGTTTATCAAGAGTAAATTGTTATTTCCATTGGTCCAAAATGAAAAAAGATTAAGAAATTATTCACAAACCAATCTCATTTTCTTTTTAATTGATCAATTTGTTGATGTTGTTGTTTATGTGTGACAGACATCGTAGGATTCCTGATCCTTATCCCTCAATATCGTTAGTTTGGGTGCACTCGTTTCGGCCTCCATGGCCAGCCAAGGCCGGCTGCCAGTCAGCTGATAATCGAGTTGTCTTAACTCTGGGTATAAAGGGACTCTAGTTTTAAGTTGATTGAGTCCTTGTGCCCCACGTAATGTACCGGTTTTTGTCGCCAAAATGGTCAACATTGCTATTTCGGAAGAGGTTACTCGCGTAGGATAGCCCTTATTTTTGAGTTTACGGAAATTTAAAGTGCGGAGCCCTGCAAATGGTTTCATTTGATGAGAAAATAACAGAGAAAAATTAAAAATTGAGAGAAAAATATTTTAAAACGCGCCTCAAAGAGCCTAAAGTTCCGAGCTTGGCGTGCGAAGACGCGTTTTCCGTCGTTTCGTGAATTTTTTTCCTCCCTTTGAAATGTTCCTACGGCTTTGAAATTTTTGAAGGTATCACACTTTTTAGAGTACTTTACGATAATAATAATGAAATTTACCTCGCCTCGTTTGAAATGCACTTTTTTCCCCTCAAAGAGGCCACGTCGTGCGATTTTGCCGATTTTCCCTTTATATCGTTAATAATGAATTGCATGTTAGCCCCGAAATACCTTTAAATCGACTTCCTTTCCAGCAGCTGAACAGAATTGTTTTCTTTTTGGTTTAAATGATGCGGTAGACACTCTACTTCTAGAATTGGAAGAATTTTTGCTTTTGACTCCTCAAAAAATTTAAACTATAGATAGAACATCTTGTGTTAGAGTAGGTGAGGCCCTGTCAGATGAAAAACCTATTCTAGCAGGAGTTCCTCAAGGATCAGTTTTGGGTCCATTACTTTCCCTTTTACTCACTTATGACATTCCAGCCCCTATTAGAAACTCTCTCATAGGAAAATATGCAGATGATACCACATACCTATCAAGTAACAAAAGTCAAGAACTAGCTACCCAAGAACTTGACGAAAATCTTCAAAATGTTTATAATTGAACAGTTGAAAAAGATTTCACGCTTAATTGTGGAAAAACTATCTATTAAATATTTTCTAATCGTATCATTAAAGATACGAATATTATATCTAATAAAATACTTTTAAAACCTTCTATTGTGGCCAAGTATCTAGGCATACAGCTAGACACTAAACTGAAGTGGAAATAACACATCAAAATTAAAAAAGACGAATGTATTTATAGATTTAAATAATTACAATGGTTACTAGGTAGGAAATCTAAGATAAGTATAGACAAGAAATTATTGCTTTATAAGCAAATCTTACGACCCACCTAGGCATATGGAGCTCAGATCTGGGGGTGTGCTGTGCTGCACGGTCAAACTTAGAAATATTAGAAAGATTTCAAAATCGTCCCCTTAGACAGATAGTCGGGGCACGATACGAAGGTATGAAAGAAATTCTGACGTACATAGAGATCTTGGCATGGAGGCAGTCTCACGCTTTATAACCAACTTTGCTACGAGCTACGAGAAACGTCTCCATCACCACCCAAATATTGAGGCAATTCAATCATTAGGCAGCTCCAACGAATACAAATGCCTCAAAAGGGTAAAGCCGTGGGAACTGGCCAGTCCCTGGGCCTGAACCATTAATTTTAATTCATTATATATAATATGTAAATAAGTTACAAAGTGCTCTGCTGTTTGTATTTTCTTTTTATTTAAGTTAGAAACAAAGTGCATATTTTCATTATGAAAGCTCACTTGTAACTAATTAAAAAAAAAAAAAAAAAAAAAAAAAAAAAAAATTAATAAATAAATTGAACTCGTTTGCCAAACTGTGCCCGGAGAATGTTATGAACAATCATAGAAGAAATCGAATGATGTGGCCACTTTGAAGGGGGAAAGGGGGAATTTTAAAAGTAGCGAGGGAAGTTTTGTAATTGTTTAATTTTTAAATTACTATAAAATATGTGATACTTCAGAAAATTCCAAAACCGTAGCAACAATTGAAAGGTCGAAAAAAGACACGCCATGTGGGGAGATCGCAAGGGAAAATCGGCAAAATCGCACAACGTGGCCTCTTTAAGGGGAAAAAAGTGCATTTCAAACGAGGCGAGGTAAATTTCATTATTTTTCTCGTAAAGTACTCTAAAAAGTGTGTTACCTTCAAAAATTTCAAAGCCGTAGGAACATTTCAAAGGGAGGAAAAAAATTCACGAAATGACGAAAAACGCGTCTTCGCACGCCACGCTCGGAACTTTAGGCTCTTTGAGGCGCGTTTTAAAATATTTTTCTCTCAATTTTTAATTTTTCTCTGTTATTTTCTCATCAAATGAAACCATTTGCAGGGCTCCGCATTTTAAATTTCCGTAAACTCAAAAATAAGGGCTATCCTACGCGAGTAACCTCTTCCGTAATAGCAATGTTGACCATTTTGGCGCCAAAAACTGGTAATTTACGTGGGGCGCAAGGACTCAATCAACTTAAAACCTTTACTGGCAATACTAGGGTATGCTTCTTGAAACATTGGAACCGAAAATTAGTGATTTTAGTGCTATTATCTTGGTAGCGTGCGAGTAAGCCGTTGCCAAAAGAGCCATTTTTACCGTTTTGGCCCCAAAAAACCATTTTTTCGGTGGGACGCACCACGCGTGAAGGCTTGAAATTTAATTTGGTAACAACTCAGTATATTACGTACTATCGCCGAATTTAGTTTCACGCATAAGCCGTTCCAAATCAAATGTAAACTGTGCGACGAGGCGCAGCGCGGCGTGGCGCGTTTCGGAGATATCGGTTGCTGACTGAACCTATCTCATCTTATGCCAACGAGGAAAACGGAGCCACATGAACAATTGACAAATCTGCTACTTTTTCAAGAAAAGATCCCTCAGACAAGCATCTATAGGTGCAAACTATAATAGACAGCGCAACACCGCGGTCACTAGAAAATAGAGCTAAAATTTCATGAGGTGCAACTGATTTTTTCTTCTAGTCGCCGCGCCGGCCACCGCGCCGGCAGGTTACGTGGAGTTCTTTGGGACAAAGGCGTATGCGCGCATCCGCCCTTTTTCGGGAGAACGCGTTTTCTGAAACTTGATTACTTCTAATTTCAGGAAATATACAGCATGTGCGAAAAATTCCCGCCCCCCCCCTTTTTGACCCTCCCTCAAGGGGAGGCAACTTTCTTCTTCTAAGCTGAAACCCCTAACTTGTGATACGTTTTTGGAGAGAACATCAAGGACAAAGAATTTTTCAATATCTCAATCTTTGACCGAGTTATGATAAATCAAAGGCCAAAGGTTTTTTTTCCACAATTCATATCTTTGGTTCAATTTACCGTAGAAGAAAAATAAAACAAGAAAATTTACCGAATTGTTAGCTTTTTAAGTGGAAATTACAGAAATAATTTCAAACTAATTTTAAGGAGGATTTCGGACCCCAAAATACGTCAGTTCAAAAGTCATACGATTCTCCCGCGAAATTAGCCAATTCTCCGTAACTTTGTCCCAACATTATCTCGGTAAGTTCCAAATTAGTTGGACATTACGTTCTCAAGTACCCAAATTTTGGGAAAAGTTCAAAAAATCGAAAATTTAATCGTCAACTTGAATCACCTTAAATTTTGTTTCTTGAACTTTGCCAAAAATGTTGACTCAAACTCATGACTTTCCGGAGTGACCTTTTAGGGTAATATACTTCTCTTTTACTTTAAATTGTTCTATATGGCTTCTTTTCCCACTTACCTCTGTTTTTCATAATATTTTTTCCAGAAAGGTAAAATTATTAACCAGTAAGCTTAGCCTTTAGAACAAGGGCGTATACAACGATCCACATTATCCTGCAG